TAAAGCTATCGGCGCCATCTCGGCGTTGAGACACGTTTAGCAGTGTTAGCTGTTAGTGTGTTAACTCGGAGACTGGGGTCAGTGGAGCCTGTAGGAACCTTTTACACAGAGTAGACCCACCAGCTTTCCACAGTCTACTTACTTATCACATCTTGTTAGACAACAGGGTCATTAGTGCTTTAAATAGTACATAGTTGAATGTTTCATTGCTGTTTGCAGTTGATTGTTCTCTGATAACGCATAACAAGGTTGATGTTAAATAGCGAGTTTATTGAAATGGTTTTGTCTATTTCAGCAGCATTATAGATATACTTTCTCTGGTGTCTTCGGTAAAGCTAAAACAAGAATACATTTACATCCTTGGTTCTTTCAGCATTAATTGGAAAACTTTGAGATTTGCTGTGCGCCTCCCAAGCCATTCTCTTTATCCCACCTGTCAGGTATAGATGGCAATACTTTAAACAAAGTTAAATTTGTTATACCTGAAGAGAACCAATCCTGACCTAGAATGGGTGAATGAATAATTAGTTGGTAGCCAATGCCTAAGCAACTCACATAGGCCCTGGCAGACTCAATAAGTCCATCTAGGAACAGCTGCAGGAAACACCTCTTCAGTTTAGATTTAAAACATGTGCATGCTCTTTCAGGTTGATGAGGATTATGGTGTGGACTGGACAGGACAACATAATCGCTGCCCATCAAATGAGATCACCATTCCTGAGATTCAGCTCCCAGATGCACTGAATGAACAAGACCCTGCCGTGCTACCAATACTTCAAAATCACTTGTAGAAAGACATTATTACATTTAATCAGTTTCTATGTCAGGAGGATTTTTTTTTTTTAAATTTCTACAGCTTTGTAGCTAATACTGACTCAAAACAGCATAACCAATTTCATTTTCAACAAAACAGTGAGTGGCTATAAAACAGATTTGTTTTATACAGCTGTCACTTTAATGATATTCATTTCTTGGTTGGATATACAGTACATGTCAACTCTGAGCAGATTTAATACAATGAACACAGTACAGTAGTGTAACATCTTAATTCAAATAATTTTTTCTAGAATTTTTTTGTATCAGTAGCGAGTATAAACAAAACATATTGTGTAATTTATAATGTACAGTGAACAACTGATTTTGATATCTGAACTCTTCATCAGTTTATATTAAAAAAGCCATAAATGCACACCTGTACTCTGTATTTTCACTGTCAAGTGTATTAAAAAGAACTAGAACTCACTAGATTGTCCGTTTCTTTGAACACCGAGTACAGTAATGTGATGCAAGAAAGAAGAAATGGTCTAATTTACCATGTGGTTATGGAATCAATCGTAAACCAGACCAAAACCTGAGTCAGTAGAGTTGAGACACACCTGAATGTCCATTAGAAATGACTCATAGGTACAGTAGTGTGCAGGAAGACGTAGTACTTCAAAACCGGTGGAAGACTTTGGAAGATTGCTGTTGACCACTTCCACAGTCATTTCTCGGCAAGACTTCCCATCCTGTCCAAAACTTGATGAGGGCTTTTGTTGTGCACAAGATGCTGCAACAGAAGATTGTTTTAAACTATAATGACATCCTATATTCATTATTTTGAATCTTTTATGGAGAAATACCATAAAGATGACCACTTACATACAGGGCACCAGACATTTTTGCCCCACTCAAATTGCTGTTGTAGCTTTTATAGATATTTTTATGTTAACAAAGCTAAAAGTAGTCTACATACAATTCTAGTGCAACTGATAATGCCACCACTCTTATGTATTGCATGGAGCAAATAACAAAACAAAATTATACTATAGCGTAGAGCTGGGCGATAGAACGATAACGATATGTATTGCGAAATAACTTTCTCAATAGAAAAATTAAACTATTGCGATAGACCTCACCGCTCTTGTCCTTTTTATAAAAAAATAAAAATAAATATCGTGATATGAAAAAATCTCATATCGCCCAGCTCTACTATAGTGTACTTTGTTAATGACCCAAGATCACTGGACTGTATGTAATTTACCAAAGTATAATCAGAGAAAACCAATGGCAAAATACCTATCGCAGCAGACTTACCATTTTCAATGAAGGACCGAAGGTAACCTGCCACTCTGCATTTATCCTCGAGAGCATTCCTCTTCTTCCTCATCTTCATCTTCTGTGGCAGGCCACAGTCATTTTATAGCTTTACTTATCTTGTAGTCTTAAGAGCATCAGCAACATTAGGTGTATTTTTATTAAATGTAACCCAGCTGTTCAACTAACCTACGCATACAAAACAGTATATTGGTGTTTTGTGTCAACAATTAATGTTCATCCTTCATAAATTAACCAAATAGCTTTACTATTCAGATGTTAAAAGATGTGACCTGACCTTACCTCACAACAGGGAGCAGTCTCTGATTCCCTTGGTAAGAAAGGAGGAATGATGTCTGATCTTTCTGTCAGAAGCGGCCATACCATGGTTTCCTTAAGCCCTTTCCTCAGCTGCTTGACTTGACGACTTGTTTGTGTTATGACCTACAACGGTGAGACCAAACCAAAACTGAAGTTGGAGTCTGTAAAGTGACACACACTTTAAATGTTAAATATTTAAAGAACATCCACTGTACTAGTAAAAGCATTTTCAAATTATACCCACTTACAAAATCACTACGTTGAACTAAAATTGCTTTTTCTTTCACATAGATTACTTGTCTTCCATATTAGCACAGAAGATAAGCCACTTTAAAACAGTCATGAATAACTATTACCTACAACAATGTAAATAGTAATACAGACATTAACCCAGAAGACAATTATTTTCTCTTACCTAATTTATAGAATTCTTTGCTATGATAAAAAACAGTATTAAAAAAATCTGTGACTAAACTGATTAAAAAGCTCATTTTTGCCAGACAGACTAACCAAGCAATAATAACATATCGTTACTTACCCTGAACAGCGTTTCGTGGAGTGGAGCTAGCTGTGATAGCGTTAGCATTTGCTAACGTTAACACTGTGCGGTTGTGATGAGAACTTGGACCAGGGACCACTTCATCTCCAGTACACTGCTGCAATACGCAGACTGAGGTGAAGACGTTCAATCTAAGCGGTTAGCAAGTTCTCTGAGTAACTCAGAAACGGACTTGTTTCCTGCAGCCATGCCCTTCACAAGAATTGATACACCTGTAACGTTATTCGCGCCCAGTGTTTTGCATTTGTCGGTGCCTTAAGTTTATTTTGAGCTGCATACTGCCGCCAGCTGCATAGGAGATGCATTGCACCATTAAACCTAAATCGACAATTCATGTGCTATTACTTACGTCTGAGTAAAGGAGCAACCAATCACACAACTGGCTCCGCCCTGTCTTTCTTGATTGACAGACAAAGTCATTCCGCTTTAAAGTCGCATTATGAAATAAATAGACCATCGGGAAAAACGGGATTTTGAAATAAAGACTGACTTTGAAAAAAGGTCATTTTGGACTAAAAACGGCTGGAAATAAATAAAATGCCTCAGGAATAATCTCTGTTATTGTGAAAAATAATGACCATGAAATAATATTTCACAATAATAAGAAAATTTATATAGCAGAATGTAATATGTTTCACAATAATGAGCATTGTTTTCAAAATGTGTTCCATTATTTCACAATATCATTCTCACATTACATATCTGTGTCTTATTTATTCACATAGTTATTTATTTCATCTTGACCTATTTATTTATTTAATTTGAACACTTTGGAGTTCCATACCCCTCATGTTCTTCTTGTGCCCACCACTAGAAGCATGCCTATGGAAAAGTGCGCCGGCACACAGTGCAGTGCGCTTTAAAGGTGTTATCGTGCACTTTTCCAGCCAGGTGTTTTCCTTTTCCCATTCCTCTCTGTACTTTTGCAGCCTTTTTTTCTTTCTCTGAGCGAACAAACATTGCTGCTCCAATGCTGGGCTTACACTGTGCGATTTTTGGCCCATTTTGAGCCGATTTTTGAGTCGTGCGACCGATTTGGTGATCGGCCCGATTTTGGCCTTCATCGTGCATCGTGTAGTATACGTGGGGTAACGAGAAGCGATTAACACCTCACGACCAGCTCCCGATCATCAATCGGTCGTGAGGGTGTCAACACAGCCGCTCACGCGCTAACACGTAAACGTCGGTGAAAAAGATGGAGCAGCATGGCTGTGCGCGTGTGATCTGGACCCAAGCGATGGAGGCACAACTTGTAGAACTTTGGAAAGCTCATCCGAGCCTTTTCGATGTGGCATCACAAAATTATCACGACCACAACAACCGTGAAAATAGTTTGATTTACACTGCTGCTTAATCACAGCTGCCTGATCAATGTTTTTCAATTTAGCAAAGTTGATGGTGGTGGGGTGTCTGTGTGAGTGAAAGACAGAGAGGGAGAGCGAGCGACAGAATTTCTGTTATAACCTTCATTTTATGGAGGCACAGTGTGAGCACTCAGGTCTCATCAGAGCATCGGGCGGTATAGTGTGAGACTCTGCATCGTGACCTACCAACTTCTAACCCCTGTGAGTCAATCGTGCAGTTTGAGCAGGAGCTGAATAACGTGAATGAAAAAAATCGCACAGTGTCTGCCCAGCTTTAGGTGTACTGTCGTCCGAGACTTGCACCGCAGTGTCAGCGTTTGTTTCCCTGTTGGCCATGCTTGTTGTTGTGGTCATCTGTTGTCTTCCGGTATTTTCTCCGCAAGCGACCTTTCCTCGACCAATGAGATAAGCGGTAATCTGAATTGTCATACTCAAATTGTCATAAGTGTGCTGTCAGCTCATTGGTCACAAAGCAGGAGAGGGGCTGGGAATTATGTTTTCAAACAAAGCGTTAATTCCATTAACATTTATAGACTACTTTTGATTCTCACTGTGTTACGGGACAAAGTGCGTCCCTTATTAGCTCAATACGGGACGTGTACTTTTGTTTCGAAATACGGGACGATTCCGTTTTTTAAGGGACGGTTGGCAACCCTATCCCTGAGTGAACACTGTGTACAGATGGGTACAGACAGCAGCCTCAGAGCACCCATCTAATATGGAGACTACAAAGGCAGACAGCAGGCGCAATCCTTTGGCCACTGCCAGCTTTTTTTCAAGGGTCTTTTTGTGGTAAGTGCATTAATGAAGATATTGGATTCCTCAGCATGTTGTTAGTATATCAGTCAAAAGAAAGAAGAAAGTTTCTGCAAATTATTCCGCACTGAGTGACAGCAGTTAGGCAAGGCAAGGCAAGGCAAGTTTATTTGTATAGCACAATTCAACAACAAGGTGATTCAAAGTGCTTTACAGAGACATTAGAAACAAGAACAAATAAAAAGCATGATTTAAAATTGATTAAAACAAGCAAATAAACTAACTAACTAATTAACAAACAAACAAAACAGTATATAAAATCAAAACAGATAAAATCAGAACAGTAGATAAAATCAGTAGTTAAATGCAAGTTTTGAAATTTAAGCTAAAGTGTGGATTTGGTGCTTTATTCAAATGCAGCTGAGAACAGGTGAGTCTTCAACCTGGATTTAAATAAACTGAGTGTTTCAGCTGATCTGAGGCTTTCTGGGAGTTTGTTCCAGATATAAGGAGCATAAAAGCTGAATGCAGCTTCTCCGTGTCTGGTTCTGACTCTGGGAACTGATAAAAGACCGGATCCAGATGACCTGAGGGATCTGGATGGTTCATACTGGGTCAGGAGGTCATTGATGTATTTTGGTCCTAAACCATTCAGAGCTTTATAGGCCAGCATCAGAACTTTAAAGTCTATCCTCTGATGGACAGGCAGCCAGTGTAAGGACCTCAGAGCTGGACTGATGTGGTCCACTTTGTTGGTCTTAGTGAGGACTCGAGCAGCAGAGTTCTGAATGAGCTGTAGTTGTCTGACTGATTTTTTAGGTAGACCTGTAAAGATGCTGTTACAGTAATCAAGCCTACTAAAGATGAATGCATGGACTAGTTTTTCCAGGTCCTGTTGAGACATCAGATCTTTTATCCTTGATATATTCTTGAGGTGATAGTAAGCTGACTTTGTTATTGTCTTAATGTGTTTTTCTAAGTTTAGGTCTGCATCCATCACTACACCCAAATTTCTCGCCTGGTTTGTGGTTTTTAGATGTATAGATTGAAGTTCTCTGGTGACCTGTAATCGTTTTTCTTTGGCGCCAAAGACTATTACCTCAGTTTTGTTTTTGTTTAGCTGGAGAAAATTGTGGCACAACCAGTCATTGATTTCCTCAATGCATTTACCAAGAGCCTGTACAGGGCCTCGGTCTCCTGGTGACATTGTGATATATATTTGTGTGTCATCTGCATAGCTGTGATAGTTTATTTTGTTGTTGTTTATAATCTGTGCCAGTGGGAGCATGTAGATGTTAAACAGAAGGGGTCCCAAGATGGAACCTTGGGGAACTCCACATGTGATACTTGTCTGCTCAGATGTGAAGTTACCTATTGATACAAAGTATTTCCTGTTTTCTACGTATGTTTTGAACCAGTTTAGTACAGTTCCTGAAAGACCTGTCCAGTTCTCCAGTCGTTTGAGTAATATGTTGTGGTCAACTGTATCAAATGCTGCACTGAGATCCAGTAAAACTAGGACTGACATTTTTCCACTGTCTGTATTCAGACAAATGTCATTAAACACTTTGGTCAGAGCGGTTTCAGTGCTGTGGTTCTGTCTAAAACCTGACTGGAAGGCATCGTAGCAATTATTCTGTTTTAAGAAGTAACTGAGCTGTTGAGAAACTGCTTTTTCAATGATCTTACTTAAAAACGGGAGATTTGAGATCGGCCTGTAGTTGTTCATTTGTGTCTTGTCAAGATTGTCCTTTTTCAGTATAGGTTTGATTACAGCAGTTTTTAGTGATTCTGGAAACACACCTGATAATAAAGAAAAGTTGACGATCTGTAACAGGTCTGACTCTAAAGTCTTTGAGACCTTTTTGAAAAAACTTGTTGGCAGGACATCTAAACAGCAGGAGGAGGAGTTCAGTTTACCTAAGATGTCCTCCAGGTCTTTGCTGTTAATAGGTTGAAACTGTTTCATGGTGTTTAAACAGTTTTTTGGTGGACACAGTACATATCCTGGATCTGCTGTTGATGTACCAATTGCTTGTCTAATTTTTTGGATTTTTTCAGTGAAGAATTTGGCAAAGTCATTGCAGGCCATGGTCGAATGAAGTTCAGCTGCCACTGACACAGGAGGGTTTGTTAGCCTGTCAACTGTAGAAAATAAGACCCGAGCATTATGGCTGTTTTTAGTGATGATGTCAGAGAAGTAGGACCTCCTTGCATTCCTCAGTTGTAAATTATAATTGTGAAGTTTCTCTTTATAAATGTCATAATGAACCTGGAGGTTTGTTTTTCTCCATCTGCGCTCAGCTTTCCTACACTCTCTTTTTTCTTTTTTCACCAGTGTGGAGTTTCTCCATGGAGACTTTTTCCTTCCAGAGATAACCTTCACCTTAATGGGAGCAATAGTGTCCATTACATTTAACATGTTAGCATTGAAGCTATTGACGAGCTCATTGACTGACCCTCTGGGCAGGTCAGGTGTTAATGGGAAGACCTGGTTAAAAATTGCACTACTGTGTTCAGTTATACACCATTTTGTGATCACTGTTGTTGATATATTTGTGTGGGCTGAGATTTTACTTTCAAAGAAAACACAGTAATGATCAGACAGGCCCACATCAGACACAGTAACCTTTGAAATGCTCAGGCCTTTGGAGATCAGTAGGTCAAGAGTGTGTCCTCTATTATGTGTGGCCTCTGTTACATGCTGAGTCAGCCCAAAGTTGCCCAGAGTGTTACTCAGGTCTTTAGTCCCTTTGTCCTGAGGGTTGTCCACATGAATGTTAAAATCCCCAGCAATAATTACACAGTCAAAATCAACACAGATCACAGACAGCAGTTCACTGAGGTCATTAAAAAAGTCTGTGCAGTATTTGGGAGGCCTGTAAACATTAAGAAACACAACTTTGGATGGGGCCTTCAGCTGTAAAGCCACATATTCAAAAGACTGAAAACTTCCAGGAGATAGCTGCTTACATTGAAATGATTCATTAAATAAGACAGCAACCCCTCCTCCTCTCCTGCTCGCCCTGACCTCACTGATAAAACTGTAGTTAGGAGGGGTCGTCTCGATGAGAACAGCTCCACTGTTACTTTGGTCCAACCAAGTTTCAGTTAAAAACATAAAATCAAGGCTGTGCTCAGTGATTAAATCATTAATTAAAAATGTTTTCCCAGCTAGAGATCTAATGTTTAATAAAGCCAACTTAAGTGTTTTAGAGGTATTACTTGTCCCCTCGTGTTTGGGAGCAGTCTGTGGCACACAAGGTATGTTTACTATGTTTAAAGATCTTTTAGAGTGCAGCTCTCTGTGTTTTGACCAGGCCACATGTCTCCTGTCACCTAAAAGTACAGAAATTTTAAAACCTTCTAGTAAACAGGGTCCCAGCTTCTCCTGGGAAAAGTCATCACTGCCATAATCCTCACAGCCCGGACCCTTCACACATCACGCATCAGACTGCGGAGACAGGGCATGAAGAGGAACTAAGGGGGCGAGGCTGGGCAATGTGACTTCGATTGCTCTGTTGAAGGTGGGGCTCGATGGCGAACCTTTGGCCGCTCTGGTGGGGGGTTTATGGGGGACAAAAAGGGATTGGGACGGGGGGTAGATCTGAGCCCAGCATTGACCCGCTCCATCATCTCCTCAGTGAATTTCAGGTGTGGGGAGGAGGGAGAAAGGGAGGGGGAGGAGGGTGATGGCCTGTCAGGGGTTTGGGGGACTGGGAAGGTCGTGGTCCCTTGTCCTGGTCGTTGGTGTTGTTGAGAGAGTTGGAGGCAAATAGGGACCCCTCTTCTTGCCTTAGATGTCTCTCCTTTCTGAGGCTCTTCCTCAGATGCCATGGATGTCTCTCCTTTCTGAGGCTCTTCCCGGGTGGGGGCAAATGGAGCTCCTCCTCAAGGTTTCTGCTGGGCTTTGTCTGTTCTTGGAGTACTGTTTGTTCCTCTTTATGAGATAACTCCTCGTTTATCTCAGCCTTGGCACCAAGCACGGATGGATGACGTATGGAATAAAACAAGTTGGAGGTGAACAGTTTCACCCCTGACTTGTTAAAATTAAATCCATTTGCTTTGAACAGATGCCTGCGTTCCCAAAAAATATTAAAGCGTTCCGTCTGAAATGGGAATAAAGTATATCATAGAGATGAATCGGAATCTAGGAGCGAAGAGGGAATTTTTATTTTTATTTTTGTGTACTCAGTAACGACTAGAAGACTCGGGTAACAAGTAACTGAGAAATCAAATAGGTTAGAACTTAAAGGGCTTGCGGATCTTTTGATCTTTTTAAAGTGGGCTTTTAAAAAAGGCCCGTTATATCTACAGGGAGAGTGTAAGTCAATCGTTCTATAAATGTCAAATGTAAACTGTCCATATTCCATAGGTGACTGAATATAGGCTTCCCCTTCGCATAGGGGCTTGTACATATTGTACATAACAAATATGTGTCAGTTACTTAAAGAACATCACGTGATATATCCCCTACGGGCATTCCGATGTACGTCTTGGTCTAGTCCCAATGTGCAAACTGATGCTCTCACAAAGTCTGAGGCTCTCAAGTATTTTTGAAAAGCTTTCATGCAAATAGAAGTTAAAACACGTTCTTTATTGCACATCTAGTTTAATCAGCCGTTTCTTTTTATTGGAGAAAACTGATGAGACTATTGCAATGAGCTCACTAAGTGACTTCAGTGAACTCTGTAAGGCTTTACAGAGAAACAAACCAGGGCCCTCTCTCGTTTCACAGACGACATTTAACATGTTTAGCAGTCACAGCAAGTATTCCTATTTGCTCGGAAGATGAAGGCGAGGCCAGAGCAGCTGTTTGCTATCTGCAACTTCACCACTAGCTGCCCTAAGTCGTACACACTGCTTTTTTAAAGGTTTATATATAGACTATATAGAAGTGGGTGTAGTCATTCGTTTCTCTGGACTGCAGTGTGAAGTCAGCGTATGCAGATTGATTCATTCCCACAGCCAGCCTCAAAGAGCTGTCTTTTTCTTTCAGCACCAGTTGCTTTCCTGTGCTTATTAGTTATTCATACACTGATCATCATCACTTGCTTGTTAATTCAAGAAGCTGGATACCTGTGAATTTACATTGTAATTTTAAATGTTCTTCCGGGACTGTGGCCGATATTTGATGTGTGAACAGCATTAGCTTTAAGAGATCCTCCAAGTCCATCACTAGAAACACTGTTTCTCCAAATAACTCATTAAGCACAAATAGTTCAGACATTCACAGTCAGCTTAGATATGTCTTTTCTAAACCACAGTGATTTGTATTTTTCTCTGCCAGATGGAAATGGTTTGTTTTTTTCTGTTTCAGTTGGTTAAACCCCCTGTTACAGCTTGGCCAAAAACACAGGCTCGAGAAAGGTGACATGTACAGTGTCCTTCCGGAGGATCGGTCTGAAACCCTGGGAGAGGAGCTGCAGAGGTACTTCAGCAAAAGGCTAATGTGACAAAACCAGAAGTGGTGCTGGTTAAGAAACATGTCTGTTTGTTTCAAGTTAATGTTTTATTTTTTTATAGTGTGGATTGCCATTCTGTCAACCTGCCACTGCTTGTAATATCAAGTGCTTTCGAGGGTCTGATAATTGTGTTACTGACCTGCTGCTAATTAACCTAATTAGCCTCAAAGTCCTCCAGTTGTTTCTTTTTAGTGCCACTTACCTTTGCAGCCTTCTCTTGCCCTGTCCCAACTTTGTGAGATATGTTGCTGCCATCAAATTTCAATGCAAATAATTTTCATAAAATAGTAAAGCACCTCTGTTGGAAATGTGTTTATAAATCCTGGGCTCAACTAATAAATTCATTTGATTTGCAGATGTTGGAACGAGGAAGTAAAAAAGGCTTCAAAGGAACTATGGAAGCCGCAGCTCTCCAGGGTTCTTATAAAGTGCTATGGAAAGTCCTATGCATTAGCCGGCCTATTTGAATTTTTTCTGGTATGTTGTGAATATTTACAATTGGCACCAGTGTTAAAACAATCATTCATGCACAGGTCGTATTTGAGATTTTGTGCGGTTTTCTGGCCATATTATTTCAGATGAGCTAAAATAAAAAGGAATACTGTAGTTTTACTGTATTATTGTATTACTAGCAGATATTTGAACCAATTTACCACATCCAGTACTAGTAATGGATAGAGTGAAGCTTGTTTGCATATTCCATTATGTATTTATTGTCTTTGTCGTAAAGGAGGCAATCAAAGTGATCCAGCCACTTCTTCTGGGAAAAATAATCCTTTTCTTTGAGAATTATCACCCAGATGATCAGAGGAGTCTTTGCATGGCGTATGTTTACGCTGCTGCGATGTCCATCTCCACATTTGGACTGACTATCCTCCAACATCTCTACTACTATCATGTCCAAAGAACAGGCATGAGGATTAGAGTGGCTATGTGTCACATGATCTACAGGAAGGTCAGTGAAGATTCAGAAAATTTGCACAAGAGATGCAAATTTTTGAGCTCACAACTCTCAGAATAATTTTGTAAATTTTTCAAGCTGTTAAGTAAAAATGTTCTCATCAGGCTCTTGGTCTCAGCACTGAATCCATCGGACGAACAACCACCGGTCAAATAGTGAACCTACTTTCAAATGATGTTAATCATTTTGATGAGGTAAGGCAACAGATGACCTAAATTTGTAAGGGTCAAGAACCAACTCGAAACTACATTTGGAGAATTGTAACCGAGACAACAGAAGGACAGAGGGTTAACCTGGATGTACCCTTTGAAACCTTTTTTCATTAGGTATTTGAGTAGATGGGTATTTGTGGTAAATACAGGGTTTTTTTTAGATATTATTTAAAAGTTACTACACTAACTTGCCACAGGAGAATGATAAAGATGAAAAATCTGAACTCTTGACCCTCTGCTTGATGTTATACACTCAACAAAAATATAAACGCAACACCTTTGTTACTGCTCCCATTCCCCATGGGATGGACGTAGAGACCTAAAATTCATTCCAGATACACAATATAACCATCCCTCCCAAACAGTGGTCACAAATCAGTCCAAATGTGTGGTAGTGGGCACATCTGCCATATTGAGATAATCCATCCCACCTCACAGGTGTGCCACATCAGGATGCTGATCTGACATCATGAGTAGTGCACAGGTGTACCTCAGACTGCCCACAACAAAAGGCCACCCTGGAATGTGCAGTTTTTTGCGCTATTGGGGGTCTGGGGACCCAGAACCGGTCAGTATCTGGTGTGACCACCATTTGCCTCATGCAGTGCAACACATCGTCGCATGGAGTCTATCAGATTGTCAATTATGGCCTGTGAAATGTTGGGCCACTCCACTTCAATGGCTGTGCGAGGTTGTTGGATATTCGTGGGAACTGGTACACGCTGTCGTATACGCCGGTCAAGCACATCCCGAACATGCTCAATGGGCGACATGTCCGGTGAGTATGCTGGCCATGCAAGAACTGGGACATTCTCAGCTGCCATCTGCCCTGAACAATGTGAACCATGATTCATCCGTGAAGCGCACACCTCTCCAACGTGCCAGACGCCATCGAATGTGAGCATTTGCCCACACAAGTCTGTTACGGCGACGAGCTGGAGTCAGGTCAAGACCCCGATGAGGACGACGGGCATGCAGTCAAGCGTCCCTGAGACGGTTTCTGACAGTTTGTGCAGAAATTGTTTGGTTGTGCAAACCAATTGTTCCAGCAGCTGTCTGGGTGGCTGGTCTCAGACGATCTTGGAGGTGAACCTGCTGGATGTGGAGGTCCTGGGCTGGTGTGGTTACACGAGGTCTGCGGTTGTGAGGCCGGTTGGATGTTCTGCCATATTCTCTGAAACGCCTGTGGAGACTGCTTATGGTTGAGAAATGAACATTCAATGCACGGGCGACAGATCTGGTTGACATTCCTGCTGTCAGCATGCCAATTGCACGCTCCCTCATTGCTTGTGGCATCTGTGGCATTTTGCTGTGAGACAAAACTGCACATTCCAGGGTGGCCTTTTGTTGTGGGCAGTCTGAGGTACACCTGTGCACTACTCATGATGTCAGATCAGCATCCTGATGTGGCACACCTGTGAGGTGGGATGGATTATCTCAATATAGCAGATGTGCCCACTACCACACATTTGGACTGATTTGTGACCACTGTTTGGGAAGGATGGTTATATTGTGTATCTGGAATGAATTTTAGGTCTCTACGTCCATCCCATGGGGAATGGGAGCAGTAACAAAGGTGTTGCGTTTATATTTTTGTTGAGTGTATATAGGGCAGGGAAGAGGTCTGGAAGTGTCAATATAAAGCAAATCAATACAAAGTTGTCCAGAGAGATCACATTTATTGTATGACGAAACATTTCTGTCCACTTCCAGGATTACAGCACACCATCTATAGAGCATAAGGTCTGGCGAGTCCCTGTTCAGACGGTGGCATCACAAGATGACTGATTTTGAGCTAATACAAGACCTCACAATAACTTCTAATCAATGAGATTGACTGAGAGCAAACCTTCAACTGATAGCTAGCTATGTCATAAGGATGTATATAGGCAATTTTTGTATGGGTAGGACAATTAAGTTTACTTTTGTCTAATTCACAGGAAGTTGTTTTCAAAAATATTAGGCAGGCATCTGAATAAAACATCTGTACTTCCACAAATGAAACATGCTCATCCACCCTGGTTAACTGCAGTCAGGCATTAAAAGCAAGTCTCTGCGGCTATTTTGTTAATGCCACAAAGGAATCATTTTTGGGATAGCTTAAAGCCTGACACGACTGATTAACATGTGAGGGTGATTGCAGTCACACGAGAATCACAAGCATCTTAAAGCTGTTCTATCGGCATGTAGTTACCCAACACTTTATTGAGTATTCCTAAAATTTGTTGACCATTAGCACATTTCTCCAAATCTTGGGCATCTATGTTTGCTTACATTACAGGCTCCTTATGGTGACTGACAGTTTTATCCAAGTTGTGACCGCCACTTCCAAATGTCACACACTTTTCAAAATGTCATTTATAATGACCTCTACAGATTACACTCAGACTGCACTACTTGTGGGCGGGACCTCTGCAAGCAATGGTGATCATCGTTTTCCTTTGGTATGAGATCGGCCCCTCGTGCCTGGCAGGTGTGGCAACAATTGCAGTTATGATGCCGATACAGACCTGGTTTGGAAAACTCTTCGGCATCTTCAGGTAAAGGATAACTGGAGAAGTACATGGATCTTTCAATCTATAGACCTCTCAACGTCCAGCAAGAAACAAGACCCGACTGCAGGACTCATAGGCAAATTGGGCAAATGTAAAACACACCTTTTTATTAAAGTAGAAGCCCGATGTTCACAAGCTCCAAAATATCCACACACAAAAAAGACTAATCCAGGAAATTCCAAAACCCGAACTGAGACATACAAAGGTGGTTAAACAGGCAGACTGCCAGACTTCTTCTTGGATTTTAGACACAAAGGTGCATTGCTGCCCTCCTCTGGTACTTCGTAAACCAAGGAGGTCAAACTCATTTTACCTTGAGGGCCACATACAACTTACTTTGATCTTAAGCAGGCTGGACGAGTGGCGCTGTGATTTTTCTTTTCTAAAGAAATGTTGCTGTAGTAAATGAAAGACATGTTCGCACAAATTCAATTGTAAGAAATGTTTGAAATTACACAAAATGTTCTGGTAGCTCATTGCCCAGACTCTCCTGTAATTATAAAGCAGGAAGTGTTTGTTAATACACAGAAAACCTTCTGTTTCTCTTGTTTTCTTACTGTGGGCACATTATTTTACCGAACTTCTGCAGAGTTCTTCCCAACTTGGTTTCAATTATAGAAAGATTGGCACAGTCAAAAAAAGTCCTCCACTGACATCTCAACTCTCAACAAATTTCCCAAAATACTCTCTGTAACTTTTTTTTTTTTTTTGGCTTTTAGCCTTTTGTGCTGTATCCATTTTGAGTTTTTAACCTCAGCATGCTAAGTGCACAGCTGATCATCACACCACTGTGACAAAAACTACTTTTTTTTGAGTTGTTGCATTTCATGAAGAATGTAGATTTATATGATCTCTCTAAAGCAGGGGTGCCCAATCCCAGTCCTTGAGATCTACTATCCTGCAGCTTTTAGATGCATCCCTACTCCAACACAGCTGAATCAAATGGTGTGATTACCTCTTCAGCATGCCATCAAGTTTGGCAAAGGCCTGATAACAAGCCATTCAGTTGATTCAGGTGTGTCAGAAGAAGGGTGCGTCTAAAAGCTGCAGGACGGTAGCTCTCGAGGACTGGGATTGGGCACCCCTGCTCTAAAGAGTATGAGCTCTATTACCTGATCGAAGTGTGTTTAAGGTTCTGTATAATCAGTCTGTATCAGTAATGACCTTCATCGTAGCCTTAAGGATTGTCCTATGTTAATTTTTTTCTTTGGGTCAGATGAGTAAGTGATGGATGGAGGGAATTTTACTGCAGTCATAGAAATCCTAAACCTTGTTGCTTTGGCATTAGACACATTTGATGCATACAAACCCACACATAAACTCCTCTGTAGGACTCCCATTTTTAACTTTAGTGTATTTTATGTCCACCTAGATAACTAGGGAATGTTAAAGCTGATACTGAAGCCATGCAAATATTTTGCAAGACCGGAGCTAATGTAGAAATCAGACAGGAAACACCAGGGAAACAAGACACAGCTGAAACTAATCAGATGATTACAAAAGAAAGTAAAACTAAATACAAGACCCAAGAAACAAATGACAACCAAAATAAAACAGGGAATGAATAACCGAAACACTCAATATGACAAACTAAAAACAAGGAGAGGAAATAAGGGAACAAGAGCCAACAAGAATGAATCAAAGAAAATCAAACGATGAAGAACAACCCAACCAACAGAAATAGAAACTTGAACTAAAAAGATTCGAACTAAGAACTAAATGTTCCCTATGAATCTAAAAACATTTTAAAACAAGTTCCAAACTCTGAAACCCGAGTCCAAACCCAGGACCATGACAGGGCCTGTTTAACAATGTTCAATGACTGTGTCTATTTTCTCATGCACTAATATGTTATTTATAATGTATCATTAGGAAAACTAGCGGCCTCAATGACATGTTGTGGAGTTTTTTGTTGTTGTTTTTTGGCAGGAGCAAAACAGCAGTCCTTACTGACAGCAGAATCCGTATCATGAATGAAGTGGTGTCTGGCATAAGGATAATCAAGATGTATGTCTGGGAGAAATGGTTCTCAGCCCTGGTGACTGAAGTTAGAAAGTAAGGATGAGAATCACAGACAAACTGGTAATGTTTTGACACGAATCATTTTCTGAACCAGCAGAATACTACTGCATATATTATCCTTTTTTGGTACCCCTCTCCATCATCAACTGATTTAGCCCTCAGCTCTGACAGGCTCACGGGGTATTGTCGTCAAAACACAGGGAGGACGACAATACCAAGTTTGTGAATGAACTCCAGAATGAGGCGACATAGGATTTTCAAATTCAGACCAATGATGCACCTACTAGAAATCTCAGATAAGTTCAAATCCCGCTGACCTTAACCCCAAGGTCAGAGGTTAACTTTTCTGAAAATCACTTAGGATTTCCACGTTTTTCACATAGGTGCAAATGCTACAACTCTTACATAAATCCTCCTTTTGCAACATGTTTACATTTTATGTTTGCTTGTCTTTTCTTCAATTTGTGAAAAAGTTTATATTACTACTTTTTTTTCTGGGGTGTTCTTAATTGGTACTGTTGTCCTCCTGCTGAAACTCATATCAAGAGTGATCCCTAAACTCAGTGGGAGGTTTGGATCCTGCTGTATTGGATAACCAAGAGTACTTAGACAGAACTTATGCAGGCACAGGGAGAACATGGGAATTCACAAAAAGCTACACTCTGACTTTTCTTTCCTTTTTCCTTCATAACTTAAAAATTAAATATATAATTACTGTCATAGACATATCAAAGTGAAACCGATGTTGCTCAACATCCTGCCAAATTTAAACTTAAAACTTTGCTTCAACTATGTAATCCATCTACATATGTTCTCTTATGTTTGTAGGAAAGAAATCAGTCGGATATTAAAGAGCTCCTACCTACGAGGACTCAACATGGCTTCCTTCTTTGCCAGCAGCAAGCTCATAATCTTTGTTACCTTCACGGTCTACACTCTTTTGGGGAACACCATGACTGCCAGCCAGGTGTTTGTCACCATGTCCCTGTATGGTACAATTAAGGTCACCCTGACCCTGTTCTTTCCTCTGGCCATTGAGAAGTTGTCAGAGACTGTAGTGAGCATTCGCAGGATTAAGGTAATTAATTTCTGTCATAAACTGTAGGAAAAGTTGGCAATCCAGTAGTCATGTCCAAGATAGTCAAACAATTTCCAAAGCTGGTGTAAAACCATGTTTATCATTTTCCCAGAATTTTCTCCTACTGGAAGAGATTGAGAGAAAAAACATTATGTTGCCTTTGGCGGAAAAGGGGGGAAACTCTATTGAGATCGAGAAACTGACCTGCTACTGGGATAAGGTAAATAGTGTAATATATTTCGTAGCGGTGTAACATATTGTTGTAGAACAATGACTGTTTCTGCAAACTTTATAGTTTGATGTAGTACTTACTGCCATTTTTGTCTTTGTTTAGAGTTTGGATGCACCATCTCTTCAGAATGTTTCCATCACAGCAAAGTCACATCAACTTCTGACTGTAATCGGACCAGTGGGGGCCGGAAAGGTCAGTAAACTTGTGTAATCTATTTTAGCATCCACCCTAAGATTATAGGAGTCTTTAACCTAACGGTTTATTACCGGATTCTTATACGCTGCTCAAAAAATAACCACTTTAATAACATATCAGATCTCAATGGGGAAAAAAATCATCATTACTGATGTGCACTGAGTAATATGTTAGGTGGTGCAACCTGGCAACATTGGATGAACTGAAACATAATGTCCCACAGGTGTTCTATTGATTTAGGTCAGGTGAGTGTGGGGGCCAGTCAGTGGTATTAGTTCCTTCATCCTTCAAGAACTGCCTGCATACTCTCGCCACATGAGGTTGGACATTGCTGTGCACCAGGAAGAATCCAGGACCCACAAGCATATGGTCTGATAAAGTTCAAGGACTTTATTACAATATCTATTGAAAGTCAGGGTGCCGTTGCCTAGCCTGTAGAGGTTTGTGCATCCCTCTATCAATATGCCAGTGACTCACCACCAACCCAGTCATGCTGAATGATGTTACACAACATACGTTTTTCCACGACTTCTCCAGACCCTTTCAGTTCTGTCACATGTGCATGGGTTAAGCTTGCTTTCATCTTTGAAAAGCACAGGGCGCAAGTGGAGGACCTACCAATTCTGGTATTCTATGGCAAAGGTTAGTTGGGTTCCATGGTGCTGGGTGGTGAGCACAGGGCTTACCAGAGGGCACTGGGCTCTCTGGCGCCATTATTGTCATTTTTATAGGGTTTTGGCAGTGATCATCCAGTTTCCTTTTGTAAAACGGAGCAGATCCCAGTCCTGATGATGGGTTAAGGGCCTTCAACAGCCTTGTCCAGGTCTCCTAGAACATTTTCTTGTCTCCTGGAATTTCATTTACCGTTTTACCATGTGGGAGATGGACTACCTGTGCAATCTCTGTAGGGTCCAGGTATCGACTAACAACCCCCTCTGCTATTTGACTGATCACATCAATATCCCAAAAGTTTAACTGACTAGTTGACAGACTAGTTACACAATATGGGATCAACAAGAAACGAATTTTGGAATATCAACAAATTAAATCCATAGTAAAAAAAGAAATTTAATCCCAGTGAAGCTGAATTACAAACACCACCAACTGTGGTACAATTTTTTAGTCTAAAACCCCCCAAATCATTGTCTAAAATATACAGAACACTTTCTAAAATAGATGAATCAATATCCCTTCCTATTGCAAAATGGGAACCAGATTTATCAATCAACTTAGACCCAAACCTTTGGTCTCAGATATCCTTAAAAACCTTTCAATGGATCAGAAATCCCAGTTTGCAATTAATACAATACAAAATATTACACAGAGTGCACTATACTGGTCATAGGATGTTCAAGATGGGCTATACGCCTTCCAACAACTGCTCACACTGCACAGCAAATACAACGGACAATTACATCCACGCTCTTTGGTTCTGTCCACCAGTTCAGAAATTTTGGCGTGAGATATGTGTAGACTTATCAAAGTGTCTGAAATGTAACATTCCAGCCTCCCCTTTAATATGCTTGCTGGGCAACTTGGATGAGGTCACTGCAGAAATAAACACAGCCCACGTTGTTTTTACGGCCCTATGCATTGCCAAGAAAATGGTCCTCATTAACTGGAAAAATAAAAATAATCTTAATTCTAACCAATATAAAAACCATCTAATAGATCACATTAGTCTTGATACAACCTCTGCCATCACATTTGATCAATCCCTTTGGGCTCCTTTGATCGGCTTCATCACCTAGTGGGGGTGGGGGGTCATGGTTTGGTCCTGCCTTCGCTATTGTAGTTGATATGGGGGTAGGGACGGCCTTAGGGTGTCTGGGGAGTCCCTAGGGATGTTTCCCTGGAGGGCCTAACCTGGGGGATGTGACCATGACCTGGTTAGGAGCTCTGGGGCTCTTGGATGGTGTTTTCCTTGTGGCTGCGTACAGCGGAGATGGGAGAGGGTCTGTGCTGGCGGACGTTGGTTACTGGCCTGGTAGCCTGGCTGCCCCTGGGAGGGTCCGGGACGGGCGTGGAGGCTTGGGGGTCTGGGGGTGCTCCGCCCCCGGTCTGGGGTGCTGGCCGGGCCTTGGGGGCTTGGGTCCTGGCTGTTGTGTCGCCGGAGCAGTGGGCGGGTGGGTGCAGGGGGGCTCGGCCCCAGTGCAGGGGACCTCTGGTGCATCGGCCCAACTAGGGGGCTCTTTAACTGGTGGGGAGGTTGTTATATCTTTGCAGGTGGTCTCCTCACTACAGGAGCTCACTCTGCAGGTGGGGGGGAGAGATTTAGGAGAGGTGGAGAATGAACTCAACCTGGGTATCTATTGTCTTGTGTAGTTTGGGAGATGATTGGATGATGGGGTGGGTGCAGTTTTCTCTGGGGTGGAGTCAGGAGGGCTGCCCCAGACTCTGTGGGGCTGGGCGGTGCTGCTGCTGCGGGCCCCGGTCCGGATGGGCCTGGGCCCCCTTGCCCTGGTGGGTTCCAGAGTGTGGGGGTGCCTACTGGGGTCAGCGGGGGAGCTGGCCCCAGGGAGGGGCCACTTGCCCCTCCCTTTCTTCCCTCCCCATCCTCAGCTGCCTCCCTATTCCCGCTCTACCACACCCACCCACACACGCAGGGCTTGGGGTGCAGGTATGTCACCAGGGTGCAGGGGAGGCACTCCCTCTCTGTCCCCTTCTGGCCGCCTGTGCCTCAATTTTATTCTGCAACCTAGACATCCACATTACTCACACTCTCACATAACACATACATATAGGGCCTTGGGGGTGGGCACGTTTTACAGCATCCAGAGGATGGTTGGTGTATTCCAACCCACCTCGGGCGCTGATGCCCTACCCTCAATTTTAAATGTATTTAGACACTAAGGGTTTTCGGGAGGAGCCGTGCTGCTCTCTGAGAGGAAGCTAGTACCATGCTCTCCTGAGTTTTAAATGCACTTTAGAACAGCACACAGCAACACTACATATGAGCGGGCGTAGGGAGGTTTGAGGTCTTCACTCACCCCGGTTCTGTTGGCCGTCAGGGCTGGGGGGCTGGGAGGAGGTGCTGGCCGTCAGACTGGGGTCTGGGATGCGGGGCCTCCCTGCTACTGCAGATAAGGAGGTGGTCCGCTTGCCTCCACCCCAGAGAGAAGGGTTACATCTCCTGGGTCTAGGTGCGGCTTGCCCCTCTGAGGGCGGGGGTACCTGGACCTGGGATATGGAGTATGTTTGGGGAGTGCGACTGTCTGTGCAGTGTCTATTTGTGTCTGTCTGCACGTTAGGTAAGTGCCGAGTATTTGGTTGTGCATATGGGGTGGGAATGCACGTTTGTGTCCGCGTGCGCCTGTTCGTCTGTGTCTATATGTCAGGTTGGGTCTTAGACTCAACCTCTCTGGGTAGATCTCAGGCCCTCTAAAGTACGGAGGCCTATCTCCCCTCACCACACTCCCTGCCGGTGGCTGATGCCCTCAGACCTTGGTGTGTTGGTGGTCCTTGTCGTCTGGGGCTGGGCACTCATGTATGTACCGGCTCACTCCTGGTGGCCGATTGGTGGGACCTGGCGCCTGTGGCCCGGCTGGGCCCCTTCCGGGGGTGGGATGCCCTCAGGCCTCTGGCCTCTGGGCCTGAAGCTCGGTCCTCTCTGGCACAGCTGGCTGCCGGCAGAGCCCGCGGGCACGCCACTGCAACCCCCTCTGGCCTCTGCTCCGTAGCTGCTGGATGACCTCTCGTTTGGGGCTCTACTCAGCTCTTCCCAGGAGGGTGGCACGGTTCCCCCCTTTTGGTGGTTCTCCTCGGGTCCTTGTACTCTGGGGCCTCTGGATATCTGGGGCCTGGATCTCCTCCATACCTGCTTCATACCCTGGTGGACGGGGCTATGGCTCCCCACACTCCCTAGCAGATCGTTACATGGAGAAACCTTTGGAATACAAGCATGCTGATCCACACAGGTATGCACACAGGTGTACACACGGGTATTCACAGACACGGACTACACCTTTCTTGGCTGCTGCCTCAAAGCACATTGTGTGCTGTCTATCTTGCGTGCTGCACAATATCATTTAATATTTAGTATCTACTGTTATCTACAGCTAGCTAGTTTATTGTGATGGTGCTGTTTTTATTATGTTGCTCTTTTTTTGTTTGCTTTCTCTTCTGTTTTTTTTTTCTTCATACAGGTGATCCAGGTGTTTTGTTTGTTTTTCTTTCCTCCTTCCCCCCTTCTCACCGTCTCTTCTCCCCTTTGGTTTTCTTTCTCTCCCTCTCTTTCTTTCATTCTTTCTCCCTGTCCTATCCCCCAGTCATGTCTGTCCCGTTTATAGCAACCGAAAATAAAATAAATTCATATGGACCAATATGGCAAGGCCATGATGATCCACTTGGTAAAATAAATCCGCTTGGCGTCTTTCTTGGCCTTAAAACAACAATTCTGATGGCTAAAGATCCAAACGGGACACGAAAAAAAAAGAAGTTTAACTGACTCGACTTTATTTAAAAAACATCCTTTAATTCTTTCTTTTAACAGTGTGCTTGATTTCATTTGTAAAAGAGTGGAGGTTTTTTCCTTTTTTTTCTGTTTTGTTTTTTTCTGTTACTGCATAGAGTCCTATGAAATATGTGGCCCATGATTCAGTACCTTGTACATTCACATTTAGCAAAAGTAGCTAAAGATCAGCTAAATCTGATCTGTATGACTTTATCAGTCATTATTCAGTTTATTCAGGTTTAGAGGCATATGTTTATACACAGCTCTTTTATGGTTCTGCCAAGGTGTTTGAGTTGTGTTGAGGTCCAGAATTTGTCTGGGCCATTGCACCATAGCAACTTGGAAACAAAGTGCTAAACCATTGCAGTATTTGTCACTGACAAAAAAAAAAAAAAATGCAATTTACCCAGCTTACATGCATGACATCCATGTTTTCCTCAGTCATCCCTGCTAAGTGCAATCCTGGGAGAGCTTCCTCGTGATACAGGCACACTGAAGGTCAAAGGTCAGCTAACCTACGCATCCCAGCAACCGTGGGTGTTCCCTGGAACCATTCGCAGCAACATCCTTTTTGGGAGAGAACTTAACCCAAAGAAATATGAGCAGGTCCTTAGAGCCTGTGCTCTGAAGAAGGTGAGCTAATGTGTTCTATCAAAACGGAATATTGTGTTCATGACAATGTAGAAATACTACTTGAAAAACTATGACTGAAAAGCTTCTAAAGCCTGAACTACTACTGTGGATTTCATGGACCCGGACTTTACAGAGAAGCAGATGCATGTCCACAACTCAGGCTTCTTCTAGTCATGATTCTGGGTTTTGTACCCAGCGTTTTTCAGCTTTGGAATCTCAGTCTTCAGTTTGATATTTTCTGTATGACCTTGTTGTAACCTATGTTGTAATTTTCTGTTGAATATTATGTTTGCTTGGGTTGTGTTTTCATTCTGATTTTATGTTTTGTATTCATAGTTTCTTTGTTAGTTATTCTCAGGTTTTTCCTTTCCTCTTATGTTTTTAATGCCTAGTCTGCGTTTCGATCATTAATACTTGTCCTGGAATCTCTATCTGTGCTTATAGTACAGGATAGCCTATTTTGCTAATATTCTGAAGAACAAAACCAAACTGCCAATATTTATCAAATGACTAAAATGTTCCCCTATTTTTGGCATTCACATTTATTTTTGTTACACGTACATTTTGTGCAGGACCTGGAGATGTTCCCAGATGGAGACCTAACACTGATTGGAGACAGAGGAGCCACACTCAGTGGTGGACAGAAAGCTCGTGTAAACCTGGCGAGGTACGACAACAGTCACAGCAGTTATGTCATTGTTATGCACAGGAGAGAAATCCATTTTTAGTATAATCCTCAACAGATTTGAATTCCTTCTCTGAGTTATTAGGCAGCCTAAAATAGAGGCAGCAATAACCTATATGTTCGGGCAATTTTTTTAAACCTCCAGGTATGCACACTACTGTTGCTATAGTTGTTCTACTTCACATGCCATAATCAAAGCCCTTTTTTTTTTACAGGGCTGTGTATGAGGATGCAGACATCTACCTCCTGGATGACCCTTTAAGTGCTGTGGATGCAGAAGTTGGAAAACATCTTTTCGACAAGTAATGACTGCTCACAATTATCTGTGTCCCAAAGAGATACCCATATGTATTCATACACATGAAGTATAGTATATTCTACATGCTACATATCTCTGTTTTATAGAAACGAAGGGAATTATTAATTGTAAGGTTAGATTTGAGTTTTCAATTCAACACCGGTCATTTCATGGCACTTTATACTGTAAAGTAAAGACCCAACAATACTATCACTGATAAACTTAGAAGTGGGATTATTATGCTCACATCGAGCCATGATTTTTATTTTAGTTGCACTGCATGATTGGCAGTTCCAAATAAGCATTATTTAACTGTTACCAGTCCTTTTAAAGCCTCTCAGTTGACACAGAGATAAGGAGAAAAAGCCATAAAGATTTCTTTAAGTACATACTGCTGAGGTAATGCACACAGATCCTTTTCTGCTCTATCACAGCCACAGACTTTTTGCTTTTTTCCCCCTGTAGAAATATATTTTCTGCCACACATCCTGTTTGACCTTTTAAATGTTCTCTTACTCAAATTTTACACAAGTCAGCTATAAATGTGTCATAGTTCCAATATTGTAATCACTTTAAACAAACGCAAACAATGAATCTGGATCTTGAGGACTGAGCTCGCATTACACAGCTGCGTTGTGTCGTGCAGTATGGACCTATATGAGATTTTTAAAAGGAGAAAAGTTCCACTTCTTATTTATGAAATGTGTACACCTGTCTGTGCTTATGATCAGGTGTATCTGTGGCTTGCTGAAGAACAAGTGTCGTATCCTGGTCACACATCAGCTGCAACATCTGAGGGAAGTTGACCAGATCCTGGTCCTGAAGGAGGTTTGTACTCCTGCAAAAGAAAATTGCTTGAAGGAAGCCTGCCTCCTGCTTCTTAACCATGCCATTGCAATAAATAAAGCATTCCCAAAGCAGAATCCTGCCTAGTCGGTCAGACTTGGCCTGACATGGTGACAATAACCTGATCAGCTGCGACATTAAAACCACAAAAAAGGTTCTCACCCATTCAGTAATGAACCTGGGCTGTTTATGTCACAGTATGGCTGCCGACGGACAGCCGACTGTGAGGAGTGAGGACGTGGAAGTGCAGACATGCAAAGAGACAAAACTTGAGCATAACAAAAATGAGCTGTTTATTAAGGCTGGCAAAATGGTACAAAACAAAAGGCAAAGATGAAAGTAAACAATAACCTAAACTGGGTGAACTAAGATTAAAACATGACCTCACAAACCTTGAACATTTAGACCTGGCATGGATTCCTAGAAAAACCTGGAAACATGACATGAACATAGCAGACGACCACCCACTGGAGGTGATCAGGGGAAGTGGAAACACATAGGGACACAGCTGACACAAATTAACATGTCACAGGGGAAGAGCAAAACTAAACACGAAGAACATGGGACACCAGACCTCTTCAAAATAAAATGGGAAACATAACGAGACACAGACGTGACAACACAAGCTTGACAACATAAGAAACGCAGATATGAAACACATGAGGGGTGAGGGAGACTTAAAAACAGGGGTGAAGACGCAAGGGGAATCTAATAAACAGTGAACTGTAACGGCAACCTATGCACAATAGAATTGAACTTAGAGAACCTAATAAACTTAAACATAAACATACTCAAAACATTGGGCCAGAAGACCCAGAATCATGACAGTTTAGTGGTTTCATGCACCTGGACATTATCGGTCCTGTGGGTTGCCTGCTGGGGCTTTGGCTTTTTAAAAGAATGTTTGGGGCTGGTTTAGCTGTAAACTGGGGAGCTCTTGTCCATTAGATGTATTTGCACTTGTTGAGAACCTGTTGTTTAGATGGTGATATGTGTATATAGGACCACGAATGTCAGGATCCAAGGTTTCTCAGAAGAGCTGTCTTACACTGTAAGGACATAACTGCTACTCATCTGTCTGTGGTTTTATTAATGCTGTCGCTTGTGTCAGTGTTAGTCATAATCCTATATATGTATATATGTATAAATGGTGACATTTCAACCATTTCTAAAATCGAAACAAATACGAAGCATTTTGACCACAGGTAAAAGTATTTTACAAATCTGTGCATCCACACCTAAATGCATTGTGATCACTTATGCACAACTTTTTAAGTTCAATTTAAGAAATCTGATCATCTTCTCTTTCAAAAATCTTTCTGTGCATACACATAACATCACTTTAATTTTCACTCACAACACCATGGTTGTACAGGACTGTGGACCATCCTCTGAAGTGGGTATATGCTAATCCATTTAATGTGAAATAAAACTTTGATGTTAATCTTACTATTCTCTGAAAACAGCAACATTATTGTTAGCTTAATTGCTAATCCTGGACATTTCTGCTCTCAGCTGACATCAAGTCAGACAAACCTTGGCAATGGAACAGTGGACAGTGGAAGCACAGATGTCCCAGTTTTCTGCTGGGACTTGAACACAGCTTAGATTTGTGGATCTGTGTGAAACTACCTGGGTCTCAAAACCCTATGTGGACATGCGATGTGACCTGTATGTAATGAATGATTCGTGCATGTGCACTTAAGGTTTTGTAAGTGAGGCAAAGGGTTATGTGTATTTTTAGATATTTGTGTGCACAGGAAGATTTTTTGAAAGAACATAATCAAATTTCTGAACTTGAAGTTGTGCGTAAACAAGCAGCATTTATTTAGGTTTGGATGTACAGATTTATAAAATGGTTTTCCGTGTGGTTAAGATGTTTTGTATTTGTGTTTGGAGCACACATTTGGAGTTCCAAAGTTTCATTGACCATACAGACCCACCCTTAAGATTGACCTCAGTACTCATTCTTCTCGGGTTTTATGAGTTTGATTTCTTTGTTTGGAGAAGTTTCAGTAAACACTTTCCTACATTGAAGCCTTTGACGCCTTTGACTTCTACCTGTTCCCGTGTTTCAAAGGGAGATGAGGATTGTATGCACTGGGTTTTAGGGGGTTATAGAGTCCCAGATTCCAGATTCACTTGGTTAAGTGCAAAGGTTTGTCTTGGGGTACCCCTGTAGGGTAGAGCCTACAGGGGTTACAAACAGTGAACAACCCCCTTTCCCCCCATTGGACTATCCATATACCAAAAGAACAGCAGCCTAGATGTCCAGTAACTGATTTCCTTTGTTGCATCTTTAGGGTCAAATCATGGTCCAGGGAAGCTACAGTGAGCTGCAGTCCTCTGACCTCGATATGGTGTCCCTGCTGAGACGTGATGAGGAGCAGGAGCAATTGTCTCCATTTGCTGACCCAGAAAAACTGTCTTTACAAAGTCGGTGGACAAATGATTCTCACAGTTCACACTGTTTCCTCAACTGCCCCCTTCCACCAGAAAGCACCTACACTGAGCATCTTCCTGTATGTATATTTACTAAAGAGATTGAACATTGCTATTTTTACAAAATAGTGTTGTTTTACCTTCAGTTTTTTAAAAATGTAATTAATTTTCATAGACCCCCATGCATTGTCCTTTCTCTTTTTCTTTAAAGTTTCTATATGGTACCATGGTATATAAACAAGTCCATTTATTACTACTTCTAATATGTGACATTTGTAGATATTATCTGATAGCCATTTGGCTAGAAAAGATATGCTAACTTCAGGTAGCTATTGGAGAAGTTCACTTTAAGTCAGGGGTGCCAAATCCCAGTCCTCGAGAGTTACTGTCCTGCAGCTTTTAGATGCATCCCTACTCCAACACAGCTGAATCAAACAGTTTGATTACCTCTTCAGCATGCCATCAAGTTTGGCAAAGGCCTGATAACAAGCCATTCATTTGATTCATTTGATTTGAACAAGGATACATCTAAAAGCTACAGGACGGTAGCTCTCGAGGACTGGGATTGGGCACCCCTGCTCTAAGTAATTAGTTAATGTGTTAATAAATGGTAAATGGCCTGTATTTGCATAGTGCTTTACTTAGTCCCTAAGGACCCAAAAAGTGCTTTACACGACATTCAGTCATTCACCATTCACACACACATTCATACACAGATTCACACACTGCTGATGGCAAGCTACATTGTAGCCACAGCTGCCATGGAGCGCACTGACAGAGGCGAGGCTGCCGGACACTGGTGCCACCGGGCCCTCTGACCACCACCAGTAGGCAACGGGTGAAGTGAAGGGGTGAAGTAATAAAATCATGAAAATGTATGAAAATTAAAACAACACAGAAAATTTAACCCCAAATCAACTATCTCAAATCCTCAACCTCTTAAAAAGTAAAAAAAGATGAGTGAAGAAGAAACACTTAGCGCATCATGGCACCCTAGACCTATTGCAGTGTAACTAAAAGAGGCTTGAGGGTCACCTGATCCAGCTCTTACTAATGCTTTATAAAAAGTCTAATCTTAAAAGTAGTGATGGTGTCTGTCTCCTGAATCCATACTAGAAGCTGGCTGTACAGAGAGGGGCCTGAAAGCTGAAGGCTCTGCCTTCCAAATATTGTAGCAACAACAAGTAAGCCTGCAGTCCGAGAGTGAAGTGCTTTATTGAGCTGATATGGTGCTGTGTGGTGTTCATTCATGGTACATGATATGGTAATGGATGGTACATATACACTGCACTTATACACTTAACACTGAATTACTGCATCCATGTAATGTGGTGTGTAGGTAATCAGCATGCAGGCACTGTAAAGTTGTTACTGAAGCTAAGATTGCTTTGATGGCAGCTTTCAGCTCATCTTTATGTGTCCATTTCCGCTCCATGTGAGGTCTCCCAATTTCTTAAATCAGCTATTCTTGACAATCCTTTCAACAGCTTTGAAAGAATTCTCACCTTTTCCTACTCTACGGTTCCTTTCAGTCAAATTTCACGTTACATGTAATAAATATATAAGAAAAAACTATACTGTCAAAAGTATTTGCTCATTTGACCATTCATCCAGAAACACATTTATCAGGTCAGACAAGAAGGACTAGCTCACGGTCCTTGCTCTAATTCATCCTAAAGGTGTTCTGTTGAGTTGAGGTCAGGTTTTCATGATATATATATTTCTCACTAATATTATTTTAGATGCACTATCATGAAGTGTCAGCTTTGTTCTGAGATTACAAACAGTAAAACTATGTTCAAGTATAAAGATGTGCCTGGATCATTTCTTGTTTTGCAGGTTGAAGCTATTCAAACTATTGCAGAGGAGACACGAGCTGAAGGAAATGTCAGCAGTCACATTTATTTTACATACTTCACGGCAGGCTGTAGCCTTCTGGTTTTAATGGTTATATTATTTCTTAGTATTCTAGCTGAGGTAAGTCACAGACCTCTTATGGTACCATTAGCAAGTGAATGGAGATTTTTAATGCAATGTTTTTATTCATTGTGAACATAAGAAACAAAACCAAGTTGAACCTTTTTTTTTATTGTTTGTTTCTTTTCAATAGGTGGCATATATCCTTCAGGACTGGTGGTTGGTATACTGGTGAGAACTCAACACACTTTTAGTACTGTGTAACACTGTGCAAGTCTTGAGATACACCTCATTTCTTTATAATTTTCTTCTAAGGAGCTAAAACGTTTTTAGATATATTGTAATGTAAAGGCCCTACAAAGAGATTTGATAAAACAGCAAGCGCTTTGGGGACAGTGGGAAGGCAAAAAAATAATAAATCTATTTTTTCCTTCTGTTCTGCATTTCTATGTATGTTTTCAATAACTTACTACACGTGTGTCCCATTTTGCAAGCAAAGTATAAAGAAATTAGTGGTAGATCAGGACTTTAGTCCAGTTCTGTAGCCAGTAGCTTACTTTTCTATTCATTTAATTACAGAACATTTTATTAGACTGTTTAAGTGATGTTCTTTGTTTAATTGTCTTCTCACCTGACAGGGCAAGAGATGATTTTACAAACGGCACAAACAGCAGAGTCACTGCTGTTAGCCTTAAAAGTGGAATGAATGTTACTAGTTCATACCAAGAGTTTAATCTCTCTTTTACCTCAGCATTTATTCAGGTAAGCCTTTCAGTCCTGTAGTTCTTACTGAAATCTTCACATACTATTGTTGACTACCATGTGTTTAGTGTCCATTATGTTATATTACTTGGTAGAATATCCTGCTGTAAATCAAATACCAAACTATTTTTTTAATATAGTCCTGCTGTGTTTACTTTTAGGTTTGACAGCAGCAGCTGTGGTCTTTGGTTTTGCCAGGAGTTTGGTGATATTTCATGGGCTGGTGAGATCAGCTCAGACTCTTCACAACAGCATGTTTAGTGCTGTGCTCCACACTCCTGTTAGCTTCTTTGATGTCAACCCCATAGGTGAGGCCTACACAGGATTTATTTTTATTTTTAAGAGGAAACAGTCACATATTTATCTGCCTAGTGTTTGTTAATAATGGATTGCATTTATATAGCGCTTTTCTAGAGCCTCCGAGCGCTTACAATTCTACTATTCATTCACTCTCACATTCACACACTGGTGGAGGCAAGCTACAGTTGTAGCCACAGCTGCCCTGGGGCAGACTGACAGAAGCGAGGCTGCCATATCGCGCCATCAGCCCCTCTGGCCATCACCAGGTGAAGTGTCTTACCCAAGGACACAACGACCAAGACAAACAGAGCTTCGGATCGAACCGGCAACCTTCCGGTTACAAGATGAGCTTCCCAACCCCCTGAACCATGGTCCATTGTTTAAAGGTGTAAAATGTAAGACTCTTGTAGGAGCCATGAGTTTTAATCCGCCTGGAGCATCACATCATGGTGGAACTTGGGAACGGATAATTCGTATGATCAGAAGAATTCTGAGATCCGTTCTTCAGCAACAACAGTTGGACGATGATGGATTAAATACGGTTCTATGTGAAATTGAAGTATTTTTAAATGACAGATCCATCACAAAGCTTTCTGATGATCCAAAAGACCTAGAGCCACTTACACCAAATCACATCCTCCTGATGAAAGGAAAACCATCTTTACCACCCGGACTATTTGACCCTCAGGATATGTATCTGAAGAGAAGATGGAAACAGGCTCAGTACATCTCAGATCTTTTTTGGAAACGATGGATACGCGAATACCTGCCTTTGTTACAGGAGAGACAAAAATGGAACCAAAAGAAGAAGAATCTAAAACCTGGAGATATAGTCATTATAATGGATTCTTCTGCACCGCGTGGTTCCTGGCCACTTGGAAGAGTTCTGGAAGCCATTCGTGACAAAAAAGGACTTGTGCGATCTGCACGTTTAAAAACAAAGACTAATATTCTGGAAAGACCTGTAACTAAACTTTGCTTGTTACATGAGACTGTAATCTAAAAGTGTGTTACTTATGTTTATTTATGTGAATGTATAGGTCTAAAGTAGACTGTATTAGTGGCTCCTTATTTTCTTTGTGATTAGAATTGCCATGTCTGATAGCCATTTCAATTAGGGGCCGGGGTGTAGGAGCCATTCTTGGGTTAATACCTTATGTGGTCACTAGAGGTCACCTTTTTCTGTTTTGATTATGTAATGTAAAGGTATTTAAGGTAGACGCACGTAATCGGCGTCAGGTGTGTCATTGAGAAGGCAAACAGTTTGTGATCGTTGCGCTGTTATGCTAAGGCGATACAGAATAAAGACCAAAAAGGACAAGATACATACTGCTGGATTTATTGGACTGTGAACTTAATTCATGCATACCAGTGACATCGCGTCACCCCCGTTAACGACCACCTCAGTGGCTTCAAGCGTAGGCTTAGCCTCTACAACTCTAATTCAAAAATAAATCAAAACTGTCACCAATTGGGGCAGTGTTTCACTGGAAAATTCGTAGGTATCAATCCCCAATGTTTAAAAGACAAACCGCAGAATTAAATCTTGCTAACTATCCAATAACACCGGAGACACTGAAAGCTTTTAAGGCTGGTATTAACATGTTAGCCTGCTTACTTTAGTTGAGATCTCTGTATAGATTGCATAAACATCTAGGACATAACTTTAAAGCTGTTATTTTCTCACATTCTGCTCACAGATTTGGTTTAATTTCATTTTTAATTTCATTTTTAAACCATTTTCAATAAGCAATCACACACATTAGCCAGAAACTCCTAAAGTCTGAACTGCAGGCCTCACATCCACTTATAACACAGAATATTTTCAAGTTGACATTCTGCCCTTTAACAACATAGTCCTGTTAATTAAAACTGTGTCTGCATTGTAGGAAGAATACTCAACAGGTTTTCCAAAGATGTCAGCCAAATGGACTCCGTGCTACCTATCACCTTTGTGGACTTCTATCAAGTAAAGACTACCATAAATTATATACATATGTAGACAAAAATACTGTGCCACCTACACCATGTTACATTTACAGGAGCTGCTTGTCCACAGAAACCCATGCTATGAACCTTCAAGCATACATGCTCAATCATCCATGTAAGGAAATCCCAAAAAATTGATTCTGTTCATCTTGACATAGCATTTTGTGGGAGAAACGTTTCATCACTCATCCAAGTGACTTCTTCAGTCTGGACTGACTGCAGGTTTCCCCAAGTTTATGAGGATTACACATCCTGGATAGGGAGGAACGCTGGTTTGAGCGTGGAGTCAAGGAGGCCATTTACGTGAAAAGGGAAAGACCATCTCTGAATCGAGGAGGGGCCTAAGGGTACATCTTTCACCAACTTACAATGCTGTGATTGCAGCCATACCCCAACTCTCTGTGAATTTTACCCATGCCCTTGATCAATGGGCTTTGATCAGTAATTGTTGATCAATGGTCATGGCAATTTGCATATTAACAATCAAGGAACTGACCCCACAGCCCATTGTTCATTCATTGGGCTGGTTTCAGTCATTGTACAAATGTGCTGTTTATAAGGTTGGGGAGGTATCTCTGGCTCTCTTCCACAGCATGTCTTTTATCCTGTTTTCCTTCTCCCACCCCAACCGGTCACGGGAGATGGCCCCGCCCCTCCCTGAGCCTGGTTCTGCCGGAGGTTTCTCCCACTGAAAACACTACGTCCAGATGAACATAATCACGTTTTTGGGACTTCCAGCATAGAGTTTTTGTATGCTTTTTGAGCACTGGTAGTTTTTTAAACGCGCTATGTGCCTCAGCAGAGTGACCCCACTCTGTAACTCTGCAACTTCATGCTGTGGTTGCTAAATGGCTCCACTTAAAGCTGAATGTGGAATATCTAGGAGGGAAGAAATTTCATGAACTGACAGTTGCCACTATTACTTAAATGATTAGAAGGTGTAGCACTCATTACCTTGGTCCATGTTTTCTTTATTTTGACTTAACAAGCTCTTTCAGTGTTTTCATTATTTTTCATTATATGATGTTTTTTTAAGTTATTTTTACAGAATGTTGGCGTTATCGCGGTGGCAGCCTCAGTTATTCCTCTCATCCTCATCCCTGTTGTGCCTCTCCTGTTAATCTTTCTGTATTTGAGGAGCTTGTACCTTCGTACCTCACGTGATATCAAACGCCTTGAGTCAACAAGTATGTTGATTTATTATTTATATAATTTGTTTTGGGGGAAAAAATAATCTGAAAGGGCCAGCAAAAGTAGTTCTTGTCTTTTCATTTTGCCCTTTCTACAGCTCGGAGTCCAGTTCTCTCACACCTGTCCTCTTCCCTTAATGGTCTTTCTACAATCAGAGCTTCCAGATCAGAAGAGACGTTAAAGAAAGACTTTGATGCCCATCAGGACCTTCACTCAGGTTTACTCTTTGAGAATAAACATTTACACTTTCCAGGCTGACTGGAATTTGTAAAGTGACTGATTAATTTTCAGTGTTAAGTCCAAAAATTCTGTGAGACAACTTTACTATGGTGCATTTTTGAAAGACATGCAGCAAAATGGTGAAGACTTGAACCCAGGCCACTGCAGTCAGGGTTTCAATGTATGATGTATCTGCTTAACGAAGCAAAAAGAAGACAAATAAGAAATTGAACGACAAACCAAGTCTATTACTTGCCCTGTAGTAATCCAGATACAAAAAATAAGTCTGCCTTTGCAGTTTTGTACCCCTGAGCTGTAAAATGCTGATGGAGTATTGTTGACTCAAGTTCAAATCTCAGTAACTCAGTCTCAGGTTTTTTTCTGCTCTTTTGTTTCAGAGGCCTGGTTTTTGTTCCTGATGACCTCCCGCTGGTTTGCACTACGCCTCGACAGCATTTGCTCCATATTTATTACCCTCACAGCATTTGGCTTGATATTACTCAGAGATGGTAAAGAATTAACAACGTCCATCCATCCATCCATCTTCATCCGCTTTGTCCGGGGCCGGGTCGCGGGGGCAGCAGCCTAAGCAAAGAGGCCCAGACCTCCCTCTCCCCAGCCACCTCCTCCAGCTTATCCGGGGGAATACCAAGGCGTTCCCAGGCCAGCCGAGAGATATAATCTCTCCAGCGTGTCCTGGGTCTGCCCCGGGGCCTCCTCCCGGTGGGACATGCCTGGAACACCTCACCCAGGAGGCGCCCAGGGGGCATCCTTGTCAGATGCCCGAACCACCTCAGCTGGCTCCTTTCGATGTGGAGCAGCAGCTGCTCTACTCTGAGGGAGAGGCCAGCCACCCTTCGGAGGAAGCTCATTTCTGCTGCTTGTATCCGCGATCTCGTTCTTTCGGTCACTACCCACAGCTCGTGGCCATAGGTGAGGGTAGGGACGTAGATCGACCGGTAAATTGAGAGCTTCGCTTTTACACTCAGCTCCCTCTTCACCACGACGGACCGGTGCAGCGTCTGCATTACTGCAGCTGCAGCCCCAATCCGTCTGTCGATCTCCGGCTCCCTTCTCCCATCACTCGCGAACAAGACCCCGAGATACTTGAACTCCTCCACTTGGGGCAGGAACTCATCCCCGACCCGGAGTGGACACTCCACCCTTTTCCGGCTGAGAACCATGGCCTCAGATTTGGAGGTGCTGATCCTCATTCCCGCTGCTTCACACTCGGCTGCGAACCGTTCCAGTGCGAGCTGGAGGCCCCCACCCGATGAAGCCAACAGAACCACATCATCTGCAAAAATCATCTGCAACAGTCCATTCATTTAACTCTCCTTCAATAATCTCAAATACTGATTAATTCTGTTCCTATCTTGATTCAGAGCAATTGTGTGGCATCGCATGATTTTTACCAAGGTCTCAGTCCTGTCTTATTTACGGTGTTACGTTACTGGCTTTGCTTTTTTTTTTTTTTTAATTAATTAGTTAATTAAAGCTCCTGATTAGGGTCGGGCTAGGCTTAACAGTGGGTTCACACAAAACCTTGGTTGATTGTGACCCACACCCGTTTTCACACCTTGGCTCGTGTGATTAGGTAGAGGATCAATAGGGGGTCCATGTCCCTCTTGGGGGAACACTCAGATAGGGCTTAAAATCTGGGACTCTCCACCAATTACTCTTAGAACTGAAGAAGCTTCTTGGATGAGAGGTGAAACATCTTCAAGGAAATTTAAAGAAGTCCAGACGCTTTTCTTTCCAAGCTCCTTAGACTCCTGATGATTGGAGACCTTGCAAATGATGCATGTAATTTGAGATCTGTTATCTGCATGCAGTTTTAGTTTCTCTTTTGTGGTTTAAATAAAACAGAGAAAAATGATCCACTGGGTAAAAGGGTTTTTCTTTACTCGTCTTGCTATAAAGCTCAAGTAACATTCAGGATCACTCCCAATATTATGAAGGTAGAACCATCTCAGTGAATATATGTCTTTTGCTTTCATGTCTCTTACTAGTGTCACTTTCTTTGCACAATGATCTTGTACTTTTGCAGTTACAAAACGATTTGACTAAAAATTATGTAAAGATGGCAATGTGTTACTGACTGCAATACCAGAGTCCAAGCTAAAGCTACAAAAGCTAAACTGGCAGCACACTGGCCAATTCAACACTTTGTTAAATAGGTTTAGAAGAACAAACTCACGTGGTCTGTTTTTTTTCCTTCTTAAATTTATTAGGGCTGGTGGCTGGAGAGGTAGGCCTGGTTCTTACCTATGCTGTGACACTGATGGGAAACTTCCAGTGGACAGTGAGACAAAGTGCCGAGGTGGAGAACATGGTAAAAACAGAGTGACATTTAAATTTAAGGCTTTTTTCTTCTGTTATCAGATATTCACATGACATGCTGTTATGACCTGCTGAAGGTAGCTTGTGATTTTTTCAGATGACATCAGTGGAGAGGGTGGTGGAGTACACTGAGCTAAAGAGTGAAGCACCCTTAGAAACTCAGAAGCGTCCTCCCCCTGATTGGCCGAGCCAAGGAATGATAACCTTTGATCGAGTGAACTTCTTTTATAGCAAGGATGGACCACCGGTCCTCAAAGACATCAACGCCACGTTTCAACCCAAAGAGAAGGTGACACATCGGTTTGTGGAGAACAGCTGGTTGGGGTCTGAGTGATGATCAGCTGTTGATGTTTTGTGTCCTGTGGGTCAGGTTGGTATTGTGGGTAGAACAGGAGCGGGGAAAAGCTCTCTGGTCTCGGCTCTGTTTCGCCTGGCAGAGCCCCAGGGAAAGATCTACATCGACGGTATTGTGACCTCTGAGATTGGCCTACATGACCTGCGCCAGAAGATGTCCATCATTCCTCAGGTACAACATCAGATGACACTTCAACTGCCTGAAGAAATACGTAGTTACAATCTCACTGTTACAATAATGCTATCCATTTCTGTTATTCTTCTATTAATTGAAACTGCTATATCATTTATTTTCAGTAAATTAAACTCAAAACACAGATTTTCAAAGTCATACGATACTGCGTGTCGTTTCCAAATCCATATCCGCTACATAGAATTAATGACGTAGCAGAGTCTACTGATTTTTCTCCCTGACTTCTCTCCCCTCTGCTCCCCAGGACCCAGTTCTCTTTACTGACAGTGTGAGGAAGAACTTGGACCCTTTCAACCAGCACACTGATGAAGACCTATGGAAAGCTCTGGAAGAGGCTAGTATTTCATTAGCACACCCAGATTTGTCGTTACTGCCCACAGACCAGCTACAGGTTTCTCCTCTCCATGTTCACTGCAGGTACAGATGAAGTCTGTGGTGGAGGAGCTGCCTGGGAAGCTGGAGACTGTCCTGGCTGAGTCAGGCTCCAACTTCAGCATGGGCCAGAGGCAGCTGCTGTGCCTGGCCAGAGCAGTCCTGAGGAAGAACCGCATCCTCATCATCGATGAAGCCACAGCTAACGTGGACCCGAGGTCCTCCAAACACATTGCCAGCACATATAAAGCATACACAGAAATGTCATTACACATCCACTAGTTTTCTCAGCACACCTCTCCCATATGTTTCTACTGTGTTTTGGTTGTTGCTGTGATTACAGGACAGACGAGCTGATCCAGAAAACCATACGAGACAAGTTCAAAGAATGCACAGTGATCACTATCGCGCATCGCCTCAACACCATTATAGACAGTGACCGCATACTTGTGAGTCATCTCTTCTGTCTCAGTGCAGTTTAATTTAATTTCAATCAACCATGTTTTATAATCATATTATCTCTCAGGAACACCTTGAGGATCTTTAAATTTTAACTTTAGCTGTCCATTTTCAGTCTGACAGTGTGTTAATCAGTTTTCATAGGGGTGGGAAATGCATTTTGTCAATCAGTACCCATGCCTAATGATCGTGAAAGCAATCATGCACTGGCCAGGTTCCTGTTTGGCTCATCCTTAGCAGGTTGTCAGTTTAAAAAAGGACTGCAGAGGACTGTTACATGTCTGGATAACAGACGAATCAGTCACAGTGAATGGATTTAAAGTTCTGGGCCCATGAAATAACTGATATTGGTAAAGATTACAATCAGGATCGTCCCAATTTATAGATATATTTTCCAAAGTAGTTTTTGAGATGTAGCACCATTTTCAAACTAATTTGAGTTCATTATTATTGCTGTGTAGCGTGTCAGTCTTTATATATTTTTCACATGCTAGCTTTTAAAGGACTGTAAGTTTACCGTTATTGGTGAAGAGGACATTTGTCTATTTTTAAGGTTCTGGAGAGTGGGACCATCCAGGAATTCGACCACCCCTTTACCCTGCTGCAAAACAAAGAAGGTGCTCTCTACAGGATGGTGCAACAGATGGGCCAGGCTGAGTCAGCATCTCTACTGGAGTCAGCTAGACAGGTGAGCTGAAAAAAGTGGATAGGGTGGAGAGAGAACTTTGGACTCTGTTTTTAAGTTAATTCGAATTAAAATAACGTTTTTCCCCTCCAGGCAGCACAGAGGTCCTGAAAGTCTGTGGGCAGTGAAGCGTGACTGTTGTGCCTAAGAACTGGAAGCCTTCTACCACTTTGCTAACTTGTACACTTGGATCCTAGAACAGTAGAACCACCGTGGGTTTAAATTGGACGCCCTTGGTATTTTTAAATAAATGTCTAACTACTAAAAGAAATCACTGCCGTCTCTGATCCATGGCTTACACCTAAATGAAAAAACACAACAATGATCATTACAAATGATAAGGATCATTTATACCACGAACCTTCCAGGGGTTATATTTACCCCTTTTTTTGAAATGCTGAGCTCTACAATTGTGCTACACTTGGTTGCCTTGCAGTGCTTATTGGTTACATATTTTAATAACCACTCTCCTATCCGATGACCCATAGCTAAGAGGATTAGCTGACAACACAAACAGATAGGAAGCTAGAGTTCTATAGAAAGATTAATATTTATTGCAGAATTTAAAGGGGTTGGGATATTGAGGGAACAGGGAGCAGGTCAGAAAGGTTGACTGGGCAGGTTGCTGCCTATGCAAACCAGATAAAGCTGAATCTTAAATGTCCAGGAGTCCAGGGCTGAAAACTGGGGCTGGAGCAGACTGTGTGGTGGATCATCCAGAGCTTATGTCTTTTTAGTAGTCTTGACTATAGGATGGGATGATGGTGGGGCTCTACTCCAACTGACTCTTTATTGTGCTTAGTTGACAGTGTTGTCTTCTGCTACTCTATAGTTCAAGGTTCACTATCTTGGTGTCAGGTTTCCATTTAGCAGCAGTAATAATGTAGTAGCCACAATGGCCCTGCTGTGGTGAAAGAGTTTAGGTATACTTACAACAGTCTATGTAAATTCTGGAAGTAAATGCCTAAATTTATATCTAGCTACTGGCTCTAACACGAATTCTCTCCTTTGAAGTAACCAGTGAATTTTCCTCCATTAATGCTGTTCATAATTCTAACAGCAAACCTCTTGTGACTCTTCATTAACTAAGGAGCTGAAGCTAGATGGTAGTTTGTGTAGCATAAAGACTGGAGATGGGTAAATGGACTGGTTCTCATATAGTGCTTTTTTACTT